TTGTTTGAACATTGTCAAGGTTCTACTACCCGCTTTAAGTTCCGTTGTTTGAACATTGTCAAGGTTCTACTACCCGCTTTAAGTTCCGTTGTTTGAACATTGTCAAGGTTCTACTACCCGCTTTAAGTTCCGTTGTTTGAACATTGTCAAGGTTCTACTACCCACTTTAAGTTCCATTGTTTGAACATTGTCAAGGTTCTACTACCCACTTTAAGTTCCATTGTTTGAACATTGTCAAGGTTCTACTACCCACTTTAAGTTCCATTGTTTGAACATTGTCAAGGTTCTACTACCCACTTTAAGTTCCATCGTTTGAACATTGTCAAGGTTCTACTACCCGCTTTAAGTTCCATTGTTTGAACGCGGGTAGTAGAACCTTGACAATCAAACAATGGAACTTAAAGTGGGTAGTAGAACCTTGACAATGTTCAAACAATGGAACTTAAAATGAAGCTACACAATGGGCTATCTGTGCTCTGCCCACCACGGGTATCGAAACCCGAATTATAGCGGTGTAAGTCCGCAGATATACCTCTGTGCCACTGGAGGGGGGTGGTGGCTGAAAGTATGTATTCCGAATATATTTTATCTAGGTTACAACAGTAAGTTCCTAATCCACATTCTGCCTTTCAAAGATCTCTGTTGTTGTTTTTTATCACTTCCGTTTGTTGTCTGACTTCCCTCTGATGTAGGAGACTTTGTGATTAAGCAAGGACCTTCCTTTTAGTTTAATCTTCAGGAAAACCGGGACAGTAGAAGTTAAAACAAGTAAGCAGATTTGGTGGTTGTGTTCCAGACTAGATTATGGCGTGGTATGCACTAAAGATATGCACACCGTGAAGTAGGTAAAAGTCACATTTTTTACAGAGTTTACCCTCTGCCACACCATTAAGGAAAACTAGAGAATTCGTTAACAAAAACGTGAGCTCTCAACTACATAACTGGAGTGTAAACAGCCTCGAGCGGAAGGAGCTCAAGTATCTTGAAATAGTAAAACCTTGACAATGTTTGCTTAATTACAAACAAACATATAATATATATATACTGGTAATGATGGTAATACTACACAGTATTCAATCACCAACGTAATGATTCGTCACATAAACAAACCACGTAAAACAAAATTAATCATACCAAGTTCATTTGTTGTTAACAGTGATTTTTAAATATGGTGTGCGTGTGTGTGTGTGTTTGTGTATTTTGTCTTTAACTCAGTTTACCCATTTTTTTAGATAATAAGATTACTTCTAATTTATCTGTCTCTTTTTTTCTGGTGGTTAGGGCGCTCAACTCGCAATCTGTGGGTCGCGGGTTCGAATCCCCGTCACTCCAAACATGCTCGCCCTTTCAGCCGGGGGGGGGGCGTTATAATGTGACGGTCAATCCCACTTTTCTTTGGCAAAAGAGTAGCCCAAGAGTTTGTACTGGGTAATGTTAACTAGTTCCCTTTTCAATAGTTCATCACTTCTAAATTAGGGCCAGCTAGCACAGGTAGCCCTCTTGTAGCTTTGCGCGAAATTCAAAACAAACTTTTTTTTTTTTCTTACCCAACTTAAATACAATGTTATTGAGTAACTTCCTTATACTTCATTGTATTTTTCAGGCATTGAATTCTGACAGGAAACAACTTTGTAATGTTAACTATTATTTTCTGCTGTGTGTGTTTATCGTGTATTTCTAACACAGAATGACAATACGTACGTTGTCTTGAGTTACGTTTCAATGGAAGAAGTTGAAATACCTCCAATTGTCCTTTAAAATTCTCATTATCTGAAAATCAAGTCAAATAAGGCCATTAAATACTAAACTAATTATTTCATATTTTTCCGCTTTGCTCTTGAAAACAACAAGTTTCGAAATAAAATAGCAAAAACAAATACTACAGATGTGTTTGTTTGTTTTGAATTTCGAGCAAAA